AAGAAGAGAGGGAAGGAGAGGAGGAAAGGAGGGAGGAAGTGAGGAAGGGAGGGCATCAGAAAAATGAATTTTCTGGTAATTAGTTTGCAACATAGTGTAAGTAAATTGTAGTTAATCCTAAATTAAATGGCAGGTAGTTAAAAAGGAACAGAGAGGGAGGAAAGACAGACCAACACACTCAGATGTGTAAGAAGTTAACTCTCAGTCTCTCTGCAGAGTCACTACGGCACTAACAAGCACTCCTGCAATGTGAGGGGTGGATGCCAGGTTCCTGATATCTCCGAGGAGGGTTCTATTCTGCTCTCAATTACACCACCAGAAACTTAGAGTAACTCCCTTTACATCTGTGAACAGAAGATCAAAACCAGATCAAGGTCCCTGCTCCACAAAGCTTGCTGTGTACTGTTGACAGTTAAAATGATGAGCAGAGACATCAAACCTCTGGGAAAGAGGGAAAAATAAAGGTGACCAAACAGCAGGAAAAGGGGGTGGGGGAAGAACCACTCTTAGAAAAGCAATTATAGCTTCTGTTTCATGTTTCTTTCTTTATGTTTAGTGGAGACCAAGGGTGTCTTGCATTTAAAAGCCACGTATGGCAGTAAGAATGGAGAGAAGCTGAGAAGAGATTAATAGGAATTTCAGAGTCAAAAATAACTGACTTTTACTCTAAAAGCTCTCAACAATATCCAGCTAAGGTCAGTCTCCTGACTTACCAGGGTTGGTATCAGTCTTTGGCTGGCAGGAAAGTCTGTGGGTGCTGTCCTACCCTGCCACATAGGCGAGGCATGAGGCTCTTTTAGTAAAAGAACACATAAAAGACACTTTGCAAAGGGAACTGATGTCACCATAGCTTGTTCTTCAAAATAGTCTAAGCTTTAAAACATAAACCTAGGGGTGATTTGTATTCCTGTTTTGAACTGGGCAGTCTCCTTCAGCAGGTACAAACTTCCCAATCCCAAGCAGCAGGGTTCTGCTCTGCCTATCAATAAAGACCAGACCTTATACACAGCAATCATTCAGATACATGATGAAAAGTGGTGCATATGCACATGTACACACATTTCCATACATGCACATGCAAACATTCAAATTTAATTTTGGGCAATACCGTAACACCTTAGGCTGAATGGCAAAATAGCCAAAATCATAAACTGCCAATCACTGGCACAAACTTAGAAATATATGCCTAACACTGTAACTCCTGGCTTATGGTGCTGACTTAACTGGCTATCAGTAGTCATGCATGAATGGGGCAGAAATCCTCTGAAAAGGAAGTGGTGCCAGTGGGGAAGACATCCATTTGCTTTTCCAATAACAGGCATATTCTCTTTCCTGTCCATTTTTGGGCTACCACAAACTCACCCATGAGGGGTCTTTCTAATGTGGCACTGCCTAAATGCAAACATGTGTTATCTTTCTGCACTAGTTAGATCAGTAGCAAGAGTAAAAGCCCAGCTTCTCATCTGCCCCCACTGCTCGCCTGGGGCTCCTCATCTTGGGGTCCAGGGCAGGCAGGGCTGAGCCAGCCTGGGGCTCCTGGGCTGGAAGGAATCCCTCTGCATTGCCCCCAGGTGAAGAGCTGCCCATTCACAGGGAAGCTCCTTGAGACTGCTGGGACCTGGCAAAATGTTTCTGCCACATGGTGCTGTTGGAGGTGCAGTTGAAGTAAAATGAAGGCTCTTGGTGAATTTTTAATCAACCGAGACTGCCGCATAAGGAGGGCTGCAGAATTCAGCGTCGCTTTACCAATATGCTGACTAATAGCCTTGATTAAAATCCTAGGGCGCTTTCTGTAGCACACAGGAGCATTAATTCCAGTTCAGTTAATTACCTGTGCCTAATGAAATGCCATTTGCAGCTTCAGCCAGGCCTGAAACTCTTTACCTCCCCTCTTAAAAAAAATGGTGTTGTATCCAACCATACAGCTGCCCCATCTCCCTGGGATCCACGGTCCTCTCTGCCCCCTGCCACTTCACCCAGGAGGCAGGATGATGCCTGCATGGTGACTCCAGATCCACAGATGAAAGATGCGATACAAGGGCAAAAGATGTGCGCTGCCTCCATGACCTGATTTTGTCCTTTTCCATTTATCAAATGTTGGGTTTTGTAGCTTATGGCTGTTTCAGCTTCTTTTGTAAGCACTGCATTTTTAAATGGGAACTCTCAACTGCGCTGCAGTGGCAGCTGCCATTTTGCATTCATGGAGAGAGTGAGGCAGTGAAGGAGCTCTGAAGAAGAATTCACATTACTTCTTTTTTTCTCCTTGTTTTGCTGTTGCATTTAAATATAAAATAAAGGTCATCCTGACTGAAAGGATAGAATTACTCTACGGAGATATATAATGAGTGCACTGGATGTAAAAAGGGCAAATGTCCTTCAAGCAAAAACACAAATCAAATTACCTTTTTTAAAAAAACAGCTTTTACGTCCTCAGACAGCTTTTGTTTGTGACTAGTGTGGGTCAAGGCTCAAGGAATTACAAGCCCACATGAGCTGCCACAATTGCAGCAGAGGAAATACTTCCACTGCACAGGAGCCATTTTCCTCTCTGAACTTTCCTAATCTCTAAGTGGAGAATTTTAGGAAATGTTAAAGCTGAAAAATTTGTAGAGAAAAGTTACTTTTGCATGTTTGACCTGTTCCATGTGCTGCTCGAATCTAAAATTATTAAGCATCTCCAATATCACTATTAGACTTATTGCTGTGAGGTTTATCCCTATTTGAAGGCCCTGGCACTTGTAGAAAGGAAATTAAACACAGAAGAAGGGAAGCCAGGGGCAGAAGGAGTTTCCAAATGTCCCTACCTAGTGCCAGCTGCCCCATTGCTACAGACAACATATAAGCTGACCTAAAGAAACCATTGCATGTTTTCTGCCAGGTAAGCTCTGCAAAAGGAGCGTGCAGAAGGGGGCACAGTGCTGCTCCTGGATGAGTAAATGACACCCTGCAGCCCTCTTCCAGCAGAAGACTCTTTTTTGCACTGTCACATACAGAAAACAAAGACTTTATCTGGTGTAACACAATCCAAACCTATGCCATAAATGCAGCAATTCTGTGATGCCAAGAATGCTGGGCTTGAAACACTGAAGCTGTTTGCAGTACATCTTCCTTTCTAGCCTAGCTCATCCCTTCCAAAGATGTTCTCAGCTAAGCAGCAACTGCTTGTTTTAAATAAGAAAACTTTGGTGGGTCATAAATGGAGGAAATCAGAGCTCTATTGGGTGCAAACACAGCGACATGGTGTTGCATTATATGTTGTAAAATGTATTTTAAAACGTGGTGTACACATGCACTGAGCAGAAGAGCAAACGTGGAACCTCATCAGCCCAGCCAAGAATTACCTTGGATTTTGGAGAAACCCACTACAAAACCTACGAGAACAATGGTACCTTAGCATTACTGTGCAAAACTGAGTTTCCACCCAACACATTAATACATCCCTTTCAAAAGGAGATGCTCAATGACAGGAAAATGAAGGAAATTTAAATAAATGGGAGTTTCAGATCATAATAAGAACATTGGAAGAGAAAGATCAATCCCATCTAGAAAGAAGTTTTGGAGAGCAATAATAGTAACAGTTCAAGCCCCATCTCTAACTACCACTTTGGGGGTAAATGATTAAAACCTGTTTTATCAGTTGCTTTTCTCGGCATATTATAAGCAATCTTTTATTTTTATATTTTCCCACAAATATAGTGCAGTACATGTACACTCAGAATATAACCCAATTAATAAAAATCATCCACACACATAGCAAATTATTGTAAATTTCAAAACACATAAGACTATGCAGCACTGTCGGCCCCAGGCAATGCAAAAACTGTGACTTATACTTCAAGCCAGAGTGGAAGTAATTTTAAAATCTCAATTAAAAAAAGTTTGGAAAATTATCTTGAGGAAATCTTAATTCATGTTCTGTCTTTTGAAACTTTAGAATTCCTATTTGCCAGATTTTCACACAGCCAGGAGGATTAACAGATGCAGCCAGAATCTGAGACTGAGAACTATGTCAGGAATTTGAAATAAACCATTAATCTCCGACAACTCTGCAAAAGGCTGAACTCAAGTGACATCCTCATTTATTTCATTTTAACTACATGTCACTCCCAGACCCCGACTGGGTTCTTGCAGACTCAATAACCCTCCATAGGTGATTTTCCTAGTGAAAATGCAGCCTACAGAGGACACTGGGCACAAGCTGTGAGGTCCAAACTCTTGTCAGTGGCAGTGAGCTGCTGGCCAGCACCGAGGCTGGGGTTCCCAACCACCCCCACACCACCTCCAGCCCTGTCACTGCCCCACTACGGCGCTCATTCAAGCAAAGAGAGTAAAGAAAAAGCAACCACATGAATTTCCTAAAACTGATTTTTAGAAAGGGAGCGGGGAGAAGTTCCTGCAGGTGCTGCCACGAGCTGAGATGCTCTCCCGCCAGGGCTTTATAGCCCAGATGGGGTTTTTCAGTGCACAGCAGCTCACAGGCCCTGGCCGCAGGGCGGCTGTTTCAGCTGGCTGCTCTGCCAGGGCAGCCCTCTCCTCATGTGCCAGCACCAGTCATTTTGGCCAAGTGTCTCACTGTGCCCAGGGGAAACATTCATCATTTCAGGGAGAAAAAAAAAAATCACTCGTGGAAGCTATCAGCTTTTGAAATTTTCATCTTTTTACCCCAAAAATCAGGATCGTGCTGCCGACCAGGCCGCAAGTTGGCAAGGGCGGGTCTGTCAGACGGGGCCCGGCCCTCATGCTGTGGTGCCTGGAAAGCTGGAGCCAGCACCCTGACTGGTGCCACCTGAGGCGAGTGGGGCTCTGAAAACATCCAACAGCAGAAAATCCCCCTCCATCTGGGTTTCTCTATGCTGCCCTCGCAGAGCATTATTTTTATCATCTTCTTCGAATCCTTACAAGTCAGTTCTGCTCCCATCCTCTGCCGAGTCAAAAGTTCTGCTCCCATCCTCTGCTTTCAGCACGGCGGTCTGCAAGCAGCATGGAGCAGGTAGGGAATTCCGGGCACCAAGTGTGGTGTTACTACTTCATGAAAAGCTTTGGAGACAGTGCTCCTTTGGCTCCACCTCCGCTACCAGAAACATGTTACTCAATGCTTCCTTCTGATGCACTCAGCACAAAGCAGTGCAAAACACGCCTACGGACACACTGATAGCAATTTTAAATTCTTCAGCTTCTTTGCAGCCCCTTCTCTGCACGTGTCTGAAAGCAGGAAGATTCACTCCTTTGCCTTTTTTTTTTTTTAACTGCGCTTTTTTTCCCTACCTACAGATTCCTGCAATATCTCCATTCATCAAAGCTGATGGGAGCTTTAGGGAATTACTGCTGCCACTATGGAACACGCAGGCTCCTTCACTGCTCCTCCTGCAGATCCACCTTTCTTCTCCTGGGAAGAACATCCTAAGGGTTGGATTCAGTGGTCTTAGAGATCTTTTCCAAACTTAATAATTCAATGATCTACAGAACTGTGCAGTAGTTGTAATGTACAATGAGACATTGACCCTTGCTATTTTAACCATAGTGTCTGCCAGAAGTCTCAGGTCTTGATATCACCTGATTGCCTGAAATCCTGTTTTGATTTAAAACTAAATTTCTTCTAGCTAATCTCACTGCAGATCAATGAAAAAGACTTGAAACATTTTAGAATGTTTCAAGACCTGGAGTAATAATAACAATAATGGCTTTTCCCCCCTCTTTTAAGTAAATCTCAGGTGACTTGGACATGACTTCTGCACACCTGCGGCTGCCAGCAAATCAGAACTATCTGCACATTTTCTCCTTATCACAGCAAGAATTCCTGCAGGCCCAGGAGGCCAGAGAACTCAGCATCCTAACAATTACAGCGATTACAACTTTCTTGTGAAATAGAGAACTCAGCAGAGGTACAAAGAGATGTAAATAGCATCCAATGAATCATGTGAGAAAGGTAAAGCCAAGCTGCAAAACATCCTCTCCCTTCTTGGCTCCCAGCCTGGGGGCTCAATCTTACCATAAAAGTTCTTCACAGATTATCTAGCAGCAGAGCATATAAATCTCCTTTTATTTCAAAGCAGTAGGTAATCAATACCCTAAATAAGGCAAAAACACAACTCTCTTTGGAAGATTGTTTTCTTGATAGAAGACAGGGAATAAATATTCCTAATAGGTACCTACTTACTTTTAAATAATAATGGCATCAGCTCAGTAATCTGTGATGCCTCAATTAGAGCCCCATTGTGCTATGAGATGTGCAAACAGGTCAAACTGGTTCAAGTTATTCTTGTGATAATTTCTTAAAATGAACAGAACATGGGAAACATCAAAATGCTGAATGTAAAACCTCATGTAGTTCTCTCAGACATCTTGTCTTGAGAAATCCCCAGAAAAGAAATGAAGCAAGCTACTGGGATAGGCAATCCTTAGCATAAACAAACAAACAAAAACAAACAAACCACTGAAAACTGATTTTACATTCATTCTTGTTTTGTGGATTGTAGGGATGAAAGGTAGAAAAGAAGTGTGCCTGGTGAAGTAACTCCCTCTTTTGATAATGCACACACATGCACATACATTTGCCCTCTTCCTATATACAGTAAAGAAATCCATTCTGCTTTGATTTTCACAAGTAATAAATGAGTCACATCTAGAAATAAGTTAACGTGATTAGTACTGAAGAGCAATCCGCTACTTTTAATTTGCCCACTGGCAGTTTCACACACAGATATTTTCAGTGTCTTTTAAATCTGATTTTTCCAAAATGAAACCACCTCTTATCCCACAGTAACATCCACTGAGAGACTGTATTTCCCTGGTCATTTTAAAAATGGGTTAAAAACATGATGATGGAATGAATTTCCAAACTTCCCTTGATTTTGTTGGTAATTACACAGGTAGTCTGACCACCTTTATTCTCTCCAAATGGTGTTTTCCATCCCCACTACGTACAGTAAGAGACGTAGAGTCTTCAATGCTGTTCAGCTATGTACAACCTTTCACAGTGGATCCAAAGATCCTGGAGATGTAAAATGCAGCAGATCAAGGTTTGTTTACTGTTATTATGAGAACTGATAGAAATTTTTCCTTTTGAAAACAATTATGCAGAAAACTGGGTTTCTGCTAAAGGAACACTTTCTACTAAACTTCTGTTTTCTACTGAAAAACGTCTGTACACTAAATCTTGTACAGCAGAGGTGTTAATGCTGCTGCAGTGAACCTGGGGAACTACTTCCATGTATTGCTCATGGTCTCACCTTGGGGTCATATCCTGCATGCCTCACAACCCCACATCAGGTCCCTGTCTGGGATGGGCTGTGTCCCTTTAACCACACGAGAACCTTTGACTTGCCCAGCCTAAAGGGAAGAGTGCAAGCCATAAGTATCTGTAACTATAAAAGTCATAAAGTGCCCTGGCACTATTTCAGAAGCAATATATTTAGATGTTAGAGAATGCACTTCATCGAAACCTCACAAACTTTATGGGAGGAAAAAAAAAAATCCTTCCATTTTCAGATCCAATTACCATAATGAGAAGGTGATGTGATAACAGTACCAGTGTCAAGTAAGAAGCAGATAGGAGGACCTGCTCTCTGCCTGGGGGAGTTTGTGATCTAAGTATTTCATCACTGCCTGCCAAAGTAATATGCAAAGGTATGGTAAGAAAGATGTAAGCAAATGCTTCAATTTGTATATCTGAAATATTACTAAGTGCTGACTCCTCTCATCCAGTGTCTCTCAGCTGCGTAATTCTATGTAGAAAACAGAGTCAGGGAGTGTCTTCAGGGCCCGGAAATTACTTTACTTAAAGATCAACTGCAGATTTCATATCTAAAATATAGTTGGTAAAAGAAAAATAAAAATCTGTGGACAAGGTTAGCAGCACTGGTGGGGCAAATGAGTCAGAGGACAGTGTGGAAGTGAAGCATGCAGAGGAGAAAACCTCTGAGGGGATAAAGGTGCTTGAGCACAGAGGGAGGAAACAGAGGAGCCATTCAAAGCAGGTGACAACAGGGCTGTAGAGAGGGAGATGAAAGTCTCAGTAAGGCTGTGGAAGAATAGGAGATGGGTAAGTTCTGGGTGGAAGATAGGAGTCTAGCCAAAGCTTCTACTGCAGATGGTTTGGGACATGAGAGCAAAAGGAGCCAGAGGTGACCAAGGGCTTCTGGCATAAGGATCAGGGTGGAGAAGCAGGATGGTGAAGTACAGCTACGTTTCCAAAATAGGTGCACTCTGCACGCTTCTCACTGCAAAACTACCTCCAGCTTTCCATAATGAGCTCAGGCAGCCTTGGCCTCTCTCCAGCCACCATCTGAGCTTCATTTTACAGCAATGATGTTTGGGCAGTTGCAAGTGGATAGCAAGCAGACAGGAGATCATTACTGTATGCTCTCCATTGCTGTAGCCCTTGCAATGCTAGCACTAACACCTGAGCTTTTTCTTCTCCCCCAGGGAACATTCATGCCTTACAGTGGCTCTGCAGTCAGAAGGTCCTCTGGGTTACAGCGAGCAGACCTACAGCTCCTCCTCCTCTTCCTGTCCTCCTGGCTGTGACCTGCCAGGAAAACCATGTCCTGAGAGGTCTTCCACCCAAAGACTTAACCATCACAGGCACCCGTGACAGATGTGAACCACATGGCTGGACAGTGGAGAGCTGCTGGGACTCTGGAGAGTGAGCACCACAGGCCGGTAGGCAAGAGGTACAGGAAGAAACTTCTGCATTCCAGTGTGAAGATGTGCCATGAGCACATTCAGCAGCCCTGACCTCAAACTGGAAAGAAAGAGAGAAACTTGCAGCAGCTTTGTTCAAAAAGAGGCTCTTAAATACAGAATTTAGGAGACACTCAGGTCTGTCCTAGCAATTGAAGGGTTCAACTTTTTGTCATCAGATCTGAAGAGACCACAGCAAAACAGGAGCTGGTACTTTACTGAGATCTCCTAACTCCCATGTGTACAGTCACATAGTTCAAAGGAGGAGAATAAACACAGGCACCTTTGGAGAGGAACAAAGTGACATCACCTTGAAAAACCTTTCCTATAAGTGACTTGGTCCTTTCCTGCTCACAGGTCTGGTCCCCAAGGAAAGAAATGTTGAGCAGCTCTGTCAGAGCAACCAGACTTTATCACAAGTTTTCTCATCCATGGCTGAATTCAGGTCCTGCCTCCATGATCATTAATCCTGGCTCTTTGCTCTCAGTACACATTTGATCTGAGTCAGCCCAGGGCACATAATCACATTTAAGATGAATTAGCTAGAACACATGATATGGAGTTTATGCTGGCCTCATGCCAGCTGTGGGAGGATGAACGACACCCAATCCTGCACAAAGCCTGCCAGCACAAAGTTACCCTGGTGCTGTTTTTGGAACAAACGTGAACCAGCAGAGCCACATCAGTCCCCTGGAACCAGCCCTGTGCACAGACTGGTTGCTGCACTTTGATGCAGTTATACTTAGAGGCAGACTGACTAAGTCTCACTTAATTATGAAGTCAGGCCAATCAGACTTACTCTTAGTCAAATCACATTTCAGTCCTTACATCAGAGATGTCCCACAGTTAAAAGGATCTACATTACTCCTAGACTGGGTATAAGCAAACACATGGTACCTCCTTAGCTTTGTCTCCTTCCTTGCTGGGTCTGCTCAGGGCACATCCCATGGTGATCCAGTACTAGAGCAAGCAGAGACACATTCTCACTCTTCCCTCTGCATTTTGGAAATTAATTGCCTTACCCTTTTGGGCACATAAAAGAAAATTAGAAGGCTCTCTTGACAGATAACTGATTTAGCCTGTGACTTGACTGTTGAGTTTCTAAACCATCAAACTAAATATTGGGAGGAGAAGAAGGCAGGATGAGAGAACCCCTGGCCAGTGCCTACTGTTTTATTGCAGCAAAGCAGTCACTGTCAGCTGCTCTCTGCTTGAAAATGCATCCCCAAAACATCTGCTGTGTGTGCCACTGCTTAACATTTTAAAATGCCATCTATTATATCACTTTATTAAGTTCAACACAGTAGAAAGTATAGAAAGTATAGAAAACTGACAAGTGCTCAAAGTGTAGTGTGTTTATAGACAGACAACACAATGCACTGTTTTCCTGCTGGTGTCTGGGTGACAATATCTATACATGCCATTCCAACAGGAACTTGTAACCAAATGTTTTCATATTCAGGTTAAAAATAGAATAAAGTTTCTGAAACAACTATTGTACCAGTTATCTTTTACTAGATACAGTTAAAGGGTACTCAAACTTCTTGGATTGAATCCCTAACAGATAATTTGGAGGAAAAATGTAAATTCTAGAAAATAAAAGCCATAGGTACCTCACATGGGGATGCTCATAGAAGTTAGAAAGTTTGAGCAAGACCCTGAACAGCAATTCCACCATTCTCCTCATGACAACGAAGGGAACAAATGGAAGAGAAAGGCAAAGAGACAACCTGGATCATCTTGTGGCCTCCATCTTGCCTTAGTCTGCTTTTCCCCAGTAGGACAAATAATTTCTATCCTACATCATGAACCACATAATTTTTATATTTCTAAGGTGTGATAACATTTCCTTTTTCCTGCCAGTTGCCAAAGAAAGCTTTCAAGGACCTTGGTGAAATATCTTCTGTTCTAGCCTAGTTGATTCATGAGATAATCTGTTCTTAATATCTGTTCTTAAAAGTCCAAAGCCTGTAGCTCTTAAGTTTCAGATCAGCACAATATTCATTCCTTGCTGTGACTCAGTGGAGGCTGCAAGAGATGGAGAAGAGGGAAAAAAGAAAAGTATTTTTATAGCAGGTTATTTTTATTAGAAAATTGTGTGTTGTATAAAAACGGCCTTATTGAATTGAGGTGTTCAAAGCAATTCCTGCAGAGTAAGATTATAGTGAGCAGAGTGCAGGTGAGAAGGTCAGAACTGCAAACTAAATGCAGTTTATTCTACTGGTGCAGAAACCTAGGAATGTGTTCCAAGGTAATCATAAACACGTGTGATGCAAATACCTCACGTGCATAGATGTACATCCCACCACAGAAATCTTGAGCTGTACACAAAGGCAGTAACAACTAAAAGTAAATATAGTAGAAAAAGTACAAACTTTTAGTCTCCTTGCTAAATCATGTAATAAATTATGTTCAGCACAAGTTATGAGAACAAATGCATGGCTAAAAAGACTACACTTATCATATGCTTAAATAAAGCATTGATGACAAAAAAAGGTAAGCATGCAGAAAGAAGGATGCGTTTGGGTGTGTCCATTTCAATCCATAGTAAAGCCCATGGCAAAAAGGAGATCAGCCTGAAAATAAAACCCAGGTGGTACACTAACTATACATAGGTGACTAAACAATACAGTGCAGTGGAAGAACACAGCATTCAAGCAGTGCAAGGGGGAGATAAGACATCTGTAAACTGCCCAGGGGACACAATGTATGAGATCATACGGATATTGTAGCTGCTTCCACGCATGGAAACCAGGGGGGCCATTTCTGCAGAATGATCTCAGTTCATTGAAGACTGAGCTTTTACTGTCCAGTTGCTACCTGCTCCAAGCTCATCTTAGATCCCCTGTGTCCACTACAGAAGTGGGCAAGGGAATGCACAATGAAAAAATCTGATAAAAAGCAGAGTTCATTTGCAGTGCTATGAAAATGGAGGGGATGAGGCTGGGGAGAGCATGAGCAGTACACAGTGAATTCACCAAACCACCTGGTGCAGTCTTGTATTTAGCATGAAGACTAAACTGCTCTGAATGCAAAACCAAAATGTTCACCAGCAGTACTTTGACCAGTGGCTTCAATTAAACTCAGCCAGCCAGAAAAAACACATTTATACATATTGACTCCTCAACAGTTACCCAAGATCAAAGCAAATGAGGATGGGGGTGAGGGGTGGGAGGGGTCACGGGGAAAAAATTTTTTCCTTTATTCTGGAAAAAGATGTTTTCCTCCATTATTTTGCAGCTCACTCTATGTATTTTCTTAGTGGCATGTTCTTGTCCATACTAAACTCATGGCTTGTCACCTCTAGTCATGCTTAAGCCTTATAATTTATCAGTGGAAATTAGCTGTTCAAGTCTTGCCAGCATGGATGTCATGTCCATCAGCAAAAGACCACACAAAGTATGTTTGCTCCACTGGCATTTTATCACATTAAAATAACTGTGAGCCAAAGAAAGCTGAGAGTTACATTAACACAAATTTCTACTCACCTATATTTTACACTGCTTCAAAAAGCAAGACAAAATGTAGAAAAAGGCCTAAGGAAACCAAACACATGGTAAGTTTCCTGAAGGAATAATCCCTTTCCCTGAAGAGCATCTGCAGAATAATATGTCAGTCAGAAATTGGAATTTCCTGCAATTAATCAATTTAATAAAAAAAAAATTGTGACAGCCTTCCTTCAAATTCTGCACATGGTTTGGTTGCATTTCTGTTTCTGGATCTTTTGATCAATCATAGAAGAAAAGTGACTTGCTAGACTTGCTCTACTGAAAATGAAAGATGAACTGGGAAGCTCATTTATTTTATTTGGAGAAAGAAACAAAGACAGACAAACTGACCAAAAAGCCAAACCAGGCCACTGGCCAAACCAATTATTTGTGTCTTGCCAATCATTTCAGTCCATATTTGTTCCTCTAACAAAACTGAGCAGCCTGTTCATACAGTTATTTGCCTAACAATGAAGAGGCAATCCAAAATTTTCTGGATTGTTTCCAAACAAATGTTGAATATAAATTTACATTCTGATAATTTTTTAAAAGAATGAGTTGGAGGCTTTCAGGCCTCTACACTTATTAATACCTACTAAACAACCAGAATGAAGCTGACTCACAAGAGAAAATGTCTTCTCAGCTGATGGAGCCATGAAATTTGGCATTTTTGGCTTGTGTCTGGAGAGGAAAGTGATTTCCTCTATTAATTATGCTTCAGACATGCCAGTATCCAAACCAGAACTACACAGTAAACACAGGTAGGGGAAGATTGAAGAACAGGACAAGACCCTACTGGATATAACTGGAAGGTCTGCACTTGATTTATGGCCTCACAGCTTGAACATACCTCACTAGTGCTGCTGCTATAGTAACAAAACAGACTGGCATGCAGGTTTGTGGTAATAATGTTTGTTGAAAGAGTTTTCTTAGTTTTGTATTCTTGCTTCTGCTTTTTTTTTTTGGTTTATCTCTAATGGAGGTTAGTATATAAATTTTGCAAGAAATGCAAAACTAGAGGGGGGAAAAGGGCAGTAAAGGCTTTGTAAGAGAAACACATAAAACTATGCAGTTACTTCATGGAGAAAAGGGAGCAAAATGTTAAAGATTATTTGGGAATCTCCTAAGCATTTCAGCCACCCTTTGGGCTTTGAAAAAAGCCTGACCTGGAGGCACAGTCCTCCCAAACTCTATAAATATTGGCAGCTTTCTAACTGAAACTGGCAGCAGTGAAAGGGAACTGAGAGGAAGAGAGCAAGACTTGGTTTATTCAAGGCCAGGTTCATCCTATGGCCCCAGTGACTCAATCCCTTACACATCTACTTTTCTTTAAATGTTACAAACAGCCCCTGCTCATGCAGTGGCAATCAACAGCAAAACTCCCATCCCCTGTATGCATAAAATTACCTGGAAGCTTTTGCTCTTGTGTGGAAATAGACTAAAGCTCATGTATCATACTGACCCATTGATTGAAAAGAGTCTTTGGCCTTGATTCAACAAATCCCCTTATCCAGAGAAGATCTCTGGTACTTGATCACAGTACATGCGCTGCTGATCTGAGATCTTAAATACATCCCTAAATTATCACAACATTAAGGGCATGGAGGTTAATTAAAAAGCAAATGAGGGCATTCTATGAAGGTAATTCCAGTTACTCTGACCTGTAGAGGCATGCACAGCTTTTGCTCTGAGTATTTAAT